AGATAGACCCCAACCACCATCCCCAGTCACCACCAGGTCCACCCTGCCTGAAGTTTACACCCAGGGAAGAGGGAGCAATCATGTAGCACAAAATATCATTAATATTATATCATCTTGACAACAGTGTCCCAATCATTTTGCTTAATAATCACCAATAGTAACCTAAATTGCAATAATTTAATCAATCACTTTTAGCCACCTAGACTCAGTGGTTTGTTGTTGCTTAATCTATCATAAATAAGAGCAAGAGTTGCCAGCTTGTAGGAGTCTCCGTGGCCCAGTCAACTGAAGCTTCCTTGTGTAGCAGAGATAATGTACTGTACTTTAGTGAACAAACATATAATATGGCAACATAAAACAGCTTCAGATGATTGAGCTAAACAAGAAAACTGCTTCATATTATTAAGAGTTAAAGATATACCATGTAAGGTCAGGGTTCACTCTTCCTAACCTTAGACAAGAATATACTCAGGTCACTCATCACTGGATAACATCTTTACTGAATTAAGTGACCAGAAAAATGTCAAATTTGTAGTCTACAAAAGTATGGTCAGGCAATAAAAGCTCTTATTCATCTAAAACAAAATTGTACTTTATCACAAAAAATATAACAAGAACATGTACAAAAAGGGAGGTTTATAAGTAGGAGAAGCACAAGAGCGCATCAAGGGCCCCATGTTCCCGGCCTCGTACAGTACTGTGTGTCATGGAGTAGGAACTGGGAGTAAGATTTCTTTGTGCAACATAAAGCAACATAAACTGTGCAGGAGGAAAGTTACCACATATAACACATGCAGAGGGACAAAGCAGGCTATCACTATGTCAGGGCAGCTCACTATTCTGAACTGTTGGGAAATGCTCAGTCTTCAATTCTGTCTCAAACCAAAGTGCAATATATCTTTCTGTAACTTTTAAGAGGGTCTCAGAGTGAGTTAAAAAAGTACTGTAGACAGTATGAGATAATACTGTATGTAATCCACTACAGGTTGAGGATTACTTTTGTTACCGAGTTTGTGGGTTGACTTCACCTGCCATACATGTGTGTGGTGTGTACGGTTCACGTTATTACGCTCAAATATTTAGGTGAAAAGTACAGTAGTGGTGTTGAACTCCATGCATCTTAGAAGCGAAACTATTGTCTTAAAACATGAAAATTTTTAACTACTACAGCCTACGATTCTTCCTTTTCAGCACATATTGTTTAGCTTCTTGTTACACCAGTGATAATAGAATCTGGTGGGCCTAATATGTTTGTTTACTGTAGTCCCTTCAGCGGTAACGTGTGTATCTCTTGCCAATATGTCAAGGGTTCGAACCCAGACACACGTGAGAAAGGTGTTGTGACCCTCCCTACCAAACACCACAGGTTTCCCGGTTACTTCTGTACTGGAGAAACCAATCGCTATTAAGCTATTAAGTGGTAAAAAACAAAAATTAGTGACTGCTACCCTTCCCTTACTCAAAACATAACCACCTCATCCTCAACACAATAAACAAGTGAACAGTGTGATTTATAACATTATATTGTATTATTACAGGACATTGAGGGTTAAACCACATTCTTTTCCTATATTCCACTTCCAAATTTATTTAAAAAATCAGATAATCTTTAATCTCTTCTAAAGGAGAGAAAGCCCCTAAGCATATCAAGACTCTCCAAGTCATCACTCCCACAACTGAGACACCATAACACTTCATGTCTTGCCCGGATCATAATGTATTGCCAGGAATCACGTACGGTAGGCGAGAAATCGGGGGATAATATTTACATTTGGTGGCGGGTACAAGAGGCCCCACAGCTCAAACAATTACATTTCCCCGGGGCATACTGGCATCCTCAAAGCTAGGGATCGACTTATCAATGAGAGACTAATGAGTTTGTATATACAGTACTGTACTGTATATGAAACTGTTCTTATGTCAACAAAGAATTATCATCAGATATTAAATTATCTTGTACAGTGCTCATAACAGGAAGCAGACTAACCTGTGAGGAGGAGGGGATGCAAACATATAATTTACTACACTTGTTAACTGTAACCTGGTACAGCACTATACTGTATAGTGTTGGGTGTTAACTGTAACCTGGTAGAGCACTATACTGTATAGTGTTGGGTGTTAACTGTAACCTGGTAGAGCACTATATTGTATAGTGTTGGGTGTTAACTGTAACCTGGTACAGCACTATAGTGTTGGGTGTTAACTGTAACTTGGTACAGTGTATAGTGTTGGGTGTTAACTGTAACCTGGTACAGCACTATATTGTATAGTGTTGGGTGTGTAACTGGGTGTTAACTGTAACCTGGTACAGCACTATAGTGTTGGGTGTTAACTGTAACTTGGTACAGCACTATACTGTATAGTGTTGGGTGTTAACTGTAACCTGGTACAGCACTATATTGTATAGTGTTGGGTGTTAACTGTAACCTGGTACAGCACTATATTGTATAGTGTTGGGTGTTAACTGTAACCTGATACAGCACTATACTCTATAGTGTTGGGTGTTAACTGTAACCTGGTACAGCACTATAGTGTATAGTGTTGGGTGTTAACTGTAACTTGGTACAGCACCATATTGTATAGTGTTGGGTGTTAACTGTAACCTGGTACAGCACTATATTGTATGGTGTTGGGTGTTAACTATAACCTGGTAGAGCACTATATTGTATAGTGTTGGGTGCTAACTATAACCTGATACAGCACTATATCGTATAGTATTGGGTGTTAACTGTAACCTGGTACAGCACTAATAATGTATAGTGTTGGGTGTAACTGTAACTTGGTACAGCACTATATTGTATAGTGTTGGGTGTTAACTGTAACTTGGTACAGCACTATAGTGTTGGGTGTTAACTGTAACCTGATAAAGCACTATACTGTATAGTGTTGGGTGTAACTGTAACTTGGTACAGCACTATACTGTATAGTGTTAACTGTAACCTGGTAGAGTACTATATTGTATAGTGTTGGGTGTTAACTGTAACCTGGTACAGCACTATACTGTATACGTTAACTGTAACCTGGTAGTATACTGTATAGTTGGGTGTTAACTGTAACCTAGTACAGCACTATACTGTATAGTGTTGGGTGTTAACTGTAACTTGGTACAGCACTATACTGTATAGTGTTGGGTGTGTAACTGTAACCTGGTACAGCACTATACTGTATAGTGTTGGGTGTTAACTGTAACTTGGTACAGCACTATACTGTATAGTGTTGGGTGTTAACTGTAACCTGGTACAGCACTATACTGTATAGTGTTGGTTGTTAACTGTAACTTGGTACAGCACTATACTGTATAGTGTTGGGTGTTAACTGTAACCTGGTACAGCGCTATACTGTATAGTGTTGGGTGTTAACTGTAACTTGGTACAGCACTATACTGTATAGTGTTGGGTGTTAACTGTAACCTGGTACAGCACTATACTGTATAGTGTTGGGTGTTAACTGTAACCTGGTACAGCACTATACTCTATAGTGTTGGGTGTTAACTGTAACCTGGTACAGCACTATATTGTATAGTGTTGGGTGTTACTGTAACCTGGTACAGCACTATACTGTATAGTGTTGGGTGTTACTGTAACCTGGTACAGCACTATACTGAATAGTGTTGGGTGTTAACTGTAACCTGATACAGCACTTGTGTATAAACTTAATGAAGGTGTGAGACTTGTGTATAAACTGCACTTTTGTTTTGAGAGGAGAACCATAATCTTGAAGAGCAAATCATTACAAAATATAAGTTGGAGATGTCATAACCTTAGCTGTCTAATTCTCCCCTTGTTCTAATCTACAGTGTAATAAATAAATACTAAACAATCTCTTATGTAGGCTGGAGGAGAAGTGTCTGTCCTGCAAGGTGTTGAACATTATTCACTAGACCATACAACATGAACACAGTACTGTATTCATTACACTACAGCTATGGTGATAAATTCCTTCAAATAACATATGAAAACATCAATCTATTAATGTTGGTTTACTTTTTTCTCTCAACATTCAGTATCTACTCCAGCCTAACAAGTGACTGACAGATCATCTAGGAATGAATCTATTTTAAAACATGGCAGTAAAGTGTTAGTTGGTCTACATGGAGAATGGCACTTGATGACTGTTAATGTTGCCTTGAGTGTTTCATAGTGACTAGGGGGAGGGGAGCAAAATTTTTGAATATTACATTACTGTACACTAAAAAGTTTGAGATCAACTTTGTTGTCATTACCAAATCTCAGTATCTGTGACAGGGGAGGGAGGTTTCTTCACAATCCCCACAATGCGAGGTTTGGTGCCAACTGACTGTGTCATGCTTGACGTTGTAGAGCCACTACATCTACCATCAACAGGTACACTTTCTTCCACAGCTTTATTTTCCTTACTTGTACCAGCTGCTTTAGGAGACTTTAATTCATGAATGACTGCTGGGTTGACCAGGACCTGAGCTCCATAATATTTACGTCTGCTTGCATTGGGATTAACGACTTGACCTGGACTAACCGGACTAATGGGACGTTTCACCGATTGGCTCTTGCCCTGACCCACATATCTCAGCTTACCAGGAGAAACAGCAAGATTTTGAAACCTATTATATCCCTGTCTTCCAATATTACCCCTTGGACCATGAATTGTACTATTATTGACCAGGGGCAACTGATAGTCTTTACAATCAACCAAACCTTCAATTCTACGATAAAGATTATTAGTTGCTTCTGAAAGAGGAGCCGTAGCTAACTTATAACTATTATTCCTCTGAAAAGGACTACCAGTGTGTCCAGATCTGGTAATATGAGGTGGACTAGAAAAGCTTGCCCTAGTCTCTACTTGTTCACTCTGTTGCTCTGACTTGTCATGCTCTACATGTGAGACACAAGGCCGAGTACTGGTAAGAGGCTGGTGAGTGGCTAAGCGGGCATGGGCCAAGGCTAACAGCACACGGTCAGTGGTGGGGTCAAGGTCTTTGTCTAACAATAGTGCCTGTGACTGTGCACCAACAAACTGTATACCTGGATCAGTGCGCAGGTGGGGGTGAGTGAAGGCCACAGTGCTGGGTTGGGCCCCACGTCTAGGGCTGGAGGTGATGGGACCCTGCACGGGAGTAGGTGCACGAGAGGTTGTACCACCGGGGGGATACCCGTGAGCACTCTGGGGACGTTGAGGACCTTTAGTGCTAGACGGGTTACTTTGTGAGGACTGGGCAGTGGCTGTCTGCTGAGTTGCTGCCCCTTGAGTACCCTGACCCTGTACGTGGACGTAAGCCCCGGCTCGCTGACTTCTTGGTGACATGGGTGCACCCTGGGATGCCATAATTACACTAGAGGATGTAGTCACAGCTTGCATTTGTTGCTGCTGCTGCTGCTGCTGACGCACCTGGTGAACTTCCTGCCGAGTCTGATATATTGGTTGCTGCTGCATCATCAGCTGTTGTTGTTGGAACTGCCTTTGAGCTTCTTCTCTTGTTTGATAAATAAGTTGCTGTTGCATTTGTTGCTGTTGCTGTATGGCTCTTTGTGCCTCTTGGCGGGTTTGATAAATCTGCATCTGCTGCTGCTGTAAAAGTTGTCTCTGCGCTTCCTGTCGGGCCTGATAAATTTGCTGTTGCTGTTGTCGCATTTGCTGTTGTTGCTGAGTAGTGCCGTAGATGCTGTTGGAGCTTCCTGCAATACTCGCGAGTCGTTGTTTGTCCGTCAAGTTCTGTTCTGCATCACTTTTGGCAATGAAGGCCACTTGTTTCTGGCTACCGGGAGATTGAGGAGGTTGTGCCGCCTGCTGTAGTCTTTGCTGGGGTAGAGGTTGAGGTGGGCGTGCATGTTGGCTTGCCGTTGTTGACGTTGGCACTGGTGAAGGTGTGGGTGCCATGCTCACAAGTGGGGGTACACTGGTAGCTTTCTGAAGAGTGGGATGTGAGTCTGGCTTCGTTTGACTTGGGTGAGTCTTTGTTGTAATGTGAGAGACAGATTGTGTTGAAGGATGTAAGACTGATTGTGGTGTTGTACTAGACAGTAGTGGTGATGATGCCACAGGTAGTTGTGAAGCGTGGCTTAAGACAGACTGTGGAGGGAGAGGTTGTGGTGTTAATGGTAGAGGTTGTGATGGTAGTACTAGGAGAGGTTGTGACAATGGTACTAGGAGAGGTTGTGATGGTAGTACTGGGAGAGGTTGTGACAATGGTACTGGGAGGGGTTGTGATGAGGAGGCAGGATGAGACTGTGTGGGTGGGGGTGCATGACTATGTGAAGGGAGGGTTGCCGAGTACTGGGAGGGTAGAATGTGCAGGGTGGTGGCAGCTGCTCCTGACAATGACTGTGCAGGAGCGGCCGAGGCTTGAAGGTGCGGTGATGCAGAAGTGAAAATGGGCTTTGATGAAGATGAAACAGGTTGAAAAGATTTTGAAACTGTATCAAGAGACTGTTTAGAGTGAGGAAAAACAGTTGATAATGGCAGTGTAGTGTGTGATGCTGAGGGCGGGAGAGGTTGTTGTGGTCGTTGTGCCATTGGATGAGGCTGGGGCTTTGCACCTGTATTATTACTGGAGGTAGGGAGAGCAGGCAATGGAGTGTGCTGGATGCTACTTGGTGCTGATGACACTGAAGACTTCATGTGCGAAACAGTAAGAGTGTGAGAATTACTGGTACCTCCTGCCGGCTGGGCTTGTGTGACAGCCTGCTTAATATACGGCCCGGGTTCAAAGGAAGAGTGTCCCTTGCGCCGAGGTAAACTATCCGAGGAGTAAACGACCTTCCCGTCGGAGTTGAGTGTGACCCGGGCACCAGGTTTTGTGGGGTTGGCCTTCCTTCTCTCCAGGGAGTTGGTCGGCGTGATGACTACGTTCTGTTTAACGCTGGTGGGCACGGCACTAAACGGATGGGCTCCACCGGTGGTAGGGGGAGGAAGCTCCTTATAAGACACCAGCTCAGAGGTCTGTAACTGAGTTCTTTCACTGGGTAATTTTTGTTGTTCATCTTTTGATATTTGCTTTTGTAATTCAGCATGTTGCTTATCATCACTTTCTTGTGATAATCTCTTTTCTCTTTCTGCCTGTTTCACCAGAGATGGTCGGATCAGCACCGGCTGGTCGGGGTCCGGTCGTGCAGGAGACGCTACGGCTGCCGTGTGCATGATGCCTTTCAAGTGAGCATTAATGTCTCCGTCCTTACCGCGAGGAATGACGGTGAGCGTCGGTGTGTAACCGTGGGGTAAAACTGTAGCTTTTAAAACTGGATCTTTCTTGTCGCTAACACTGGCATCTACCACAGTCTTGCCACCACTAATAGCACCACCACCACTTCTTGCTCCACCACCACTTTTTGCACCACTATTCTGAAAAGAGAGTAGTTTAGCAGCAACACCATGAGTTTGTCCCTGACTTGCAAGGGAACCCAAAAGTCCCTGAGGAGGTGCCTGCTGTCCCTGGTTATCAATCTGTGACCCTGAACTATCTCTAGAAAGTGGAACACCCCCGGACCTAACACTTTCGTCGTCACTTTGAGGAGGAGTTATCACGCACATTGATGGTATACGGCTCGAGTTAATGGTCGTTTTAGCACGTAAAATCTCTCGTCTGTCGGCCTCCAGGTCAGACTCCGAAAACTCCAACTCTGGAGACGGTAAACTGGGTTGACGTGGACTTGTGGGTTCAGTGGGAGAGCTGGAAGTTTCCCGTCCACTGTCGCCTTCCCGTGAACTTCGACTGTCGCCATCCTGACTGCAGGCTTTGTCCGGCACGTCTCCGGCCACGTCCTCTCGGGAAGACGTAGAACCGTTGACGTGTATGACCGTGATAACACTTTCTCTATTTTCTCTCTTTCTCTCTAAGGAGCTCACCCTCTGAGGCGGCTTCGGGGGCGTCTTTTTCTCCGGGTTCCTCATGACGACCGTTCCTAAGCTTGCCGAGCTGTTGGTGGTGCCCGTGCTACCTTTACCAAATAATTCGTATTCGTTTTCACTCGCTAGAGTATTTCCTTCGTAACTCACGGATCGCAGGCCACTGTCTATATGGAAGGACGTGTAGTACCCTTCGGTGTCACAAGAGTAAGCTGAGCTCGTGTCATCGTCCAAAAATGGTATATCTTGTATGTCCTGCGTGGGGGTCAGAGTACCGTCACTGGCGTGGGACGACGTAGAAGGAAAGTCGTCGGTTGTTCTTGAGTTTGTTCGTTGATTACTTGAAGGCGAAGAAGATCTAATTTGCAAAGACCTGAAAAAAGTTATATAGTTAAAGAGATACATACAAGAATTAGTTGTATAGTTAATATGTGAGGTTGTTAGACTAGTTCACTATGGAGAGGAGCACAGCACTGCTTTCATGTCTACAGGGCTTTTTATTAATATATCTGAATTTTATTAATATCTCTGACTTTTATTAATATATCTGACTTTTGATTAATATATCTGACCTTTATTAATATATCTGACTTTTTATTAATATATCTGACTTTTTATTAATATATCTGACTTTTTATTAATATATCTGACTTTTTATGAATATATCTGACCTTTATTAATATATCTGACTTTTTATTAATATATCTGACCTTTTTTAATATATCTGACTTATGTAAATATATTATGAATTTCATTATAAGTTTGTTTGTTTTTCAAAATAAATGTTTATACAGGTTGACAATCCCTTATCCGAAATCCTTGGGACCAGAGGCATTTCGGTTTTTGGAATTTTTCGGTTTTCAGAATGGTTAGGTTTTTGGAATTTTGGATAAAGGGTTGTCAACCTGTAACTGGGTAGATGACCCCCGGGCAATATGGGGCAGGTGTTCTACCACTGGCTGGGGTACTGTACTGTACCACTAAGAGACTTCTGAAATGAAATCAACACAGTATGAATCTTACTCTGAGAGAATGGAGTCTTGCTCGAGGGATGAAGTTGGTGAAGCAATCGGGCGGTGATGGTCGGACTCTACAGAAGTGCGCGTGCTGGATGATGCCGACCAGTTACCAGAGGAGGAGTGCGTGCCTTCGTCTCTTGTGCCTTCCCTAGGGTGAGGGGCAACACGTTCACTACTGACCAGGCATTAAACAGTAAATGAGAAAATTCCACTATGATAGATAACTACTGTACATACTGCTTCTACCAGGACTAACACGGACTCCAACTGAAGTCACAGTAATATTTCAAAAAGTGTTACAAATCAATTAACAACTTGATATATATGATCAGAGGTATCCAATGGACCACCCTAGTGTCCACGTATAAAAAATGTCAATATCCTCAATCAATTATTGTTAGGTGTTATATTGTTGACAAGCTGTAGTAACTAACAGTGTTAGTAAAGTTATTTAGACATTTTTTAATACATCTTATTTTCCCTTGTACTGTAGTTCTTCATTACTGTCAACACACACACACACACTCTCTCTCGCTCTCATAGCAATTCTAGAGTACAACCTACGTCCATAAGTGTAATTTCCCTTCAATATTATTTCTGCACTTCTCTTACACTTTACCCAAACAACTTTATAATATCCACCCACCCAACCCACACTACTACTACTTTGCTGTCACATGAGAATCAAGTATGGCGATCATCCAGCTATGATACATGGTACAAGTTATTAAGGATGTCACCTAAGTTGGGAAGGGGCGGTGGCAGCTTCTACATTTGTTCTTTTTTCGGGGATTAGCCCACCCGGGCACAGGTTGAACGAACCTAGAGGGCGTTGGCGCTTGTCTGCCTCGTTATGCAATCGGGCTAACTCAAAAGTATTGACACCTTCTCGTGTGGTGATCCTCCAAGCGGTACGGTGTGAAGTAATCGTCTCCCAGGTAAGGGGGTCGATTTGGCACTTTTTCAAGTTTGTCTTAAGACTATCCTTATACCTCTTCAGTTGCCCGCCAGCGTTACTTTTACTATTCGTTAGTTGACTAAAGTAGCTGCTTTGGCAGTCTACTGTCGCCCATGCGGGTAACATGGCCAGTCCAGCGTAGTTGTTCATGGATAATGGTAGCCTCGATGCTCCTACAGTTGGTGTCAGCAAGAATACTGGCATTTGATCTCTTGTCTTCTCAGCGAACTCTGAGGATGGAACATAGACTACAGTACGTTGGTGAAAGTTTTCAAGTGCCTTGAGGTGCCTCCTGTATGTGACCCATGTCTCACTGCCATATAGCAGGGTGGGGAGGACCACTGCTCGATATACGTGTAACTTTGTAGATAATTTCAGCTCCCTAAAGCTGAAGACAAGGGTATGGAGTCTGCCAAAGGCTTGGGATGAACATCTGATCAAATGTTGAATCTCTTCATCAATGTCCGCAGTGGTAGACAGGTGGGAACCGAGATACCGAAAGTGGGTAACATTAGAGAGGGTAGTACCATAAAGCTGGATGGATGGTGGAGGTGTGGCTGAACCAGGGGCAGGTTGAAAGAGAATCTGATTCTTATTTACATTCACCTCAAGGCCGAAGTGTGCAGGTCATGTTCAGTGTGAGCAACAAGGGTGAGGTCGTCTGCATACTGAAGTTCAGTAATGGAAGCTGCCGACACCTTTGTTCCTGCCTTCATCCAGTACTTGATGTCCACCCCGCCGGCTTAATTGGCACTGGCACGAGTAAAGAAGGCAGCCAAGAAAATGGAAAAGAAAGTAGGTGCCAGTACACATCCTTGTTTAACCCCAGTTTGATGGGGAAGAACTCAGACTGGGTGCCATTGTGCAGGACACTGCCATTCATGCCACCGTGGAGTTGCCTCACAATGGCGATGAATTCTGGTTGGCAGTCAAAATGGCTGACGGTCCGCCAGAGGGCTTCCCTGTTGACTGAATTGAAGGCCTTGCCCACCCACCCAACCCACACACACTGACCCACCCACCCACCCACCCAACACACCCTCACCCACCCAACACACACACTGACCCAACCACCCAAGACACTCTCACCCACACACACACCACCACCCAACACACCCTCACCCACCCAACCCCACACACACTGACCCTCACCCACCCAACACACCCTCACCCACCCAAGACACCCTCACCCACCCACACACACACACACTGACCCACCACCCCACCCACCCACACACACACACCCACCCACCCACCCCACACATTACCATCATCACATGAACTAAGAGGCGGCCCACTAGGACCAACCAATATAACCTTTATTACACAACACTATCTTACTACAGCAGCTGCCACTTTATATATCGACCAATACAAGAGGTCAATATAATGGGTTTACATACAGCTGTAGTAATAAGTGTACAAGTATGTGATTGTGTACAGTGGCTACCAATAACTGTACATGAAACTGTATGAATGTAATTGACAGCAAGAGCAGCACCTGTACTCCACTAAAACCTCGATTAACCGACCACATATGGGGGGAGGGACCGACGGATAATCCGAAAGGTCGGTTAATAGTACATAAAGTCTACGGAAATAAAACATACACTTTCAAAATACCTTTCCCTAACCTATCTCATTTAATTCCCTCTATTCATTTTAATGTTCATTTGCCATTCATATTTCAATAGAATTTGCTTTAAAACATTAACCACTTTAGTAAATAAATATGAACCAGCACAGAAACGGTGGAAAAGTCAAAGAACATGTCATCAAAAAAATTGTGACCAAGTTCCAGGTTGATGATCTGACTTTCTGCCTCATTTACACACATGTAGGGTCTCAAGTGTTTCTCTTACTATTGACGACACAACATACATATATTGTTTCTCACTCTTGATTTTTTTTTTAATTTTTGCATTTATTTATGGTTCTTTATTACCATTATTATTATCATTATTATCATTATTAATATTATTACATTATCCCCCCTCAGGCCCCGATGTGGGTCAGTAACCTGTGCCCGGGTGAGCTAATGCCTGTATAAAAAAAAAAAAAAAAATTAGGAGTTCGGGATTGACGGTTAATCCGAAAGTCGGTTAATCGAGGGTGGGTTAATCAAGGGTGGGTTAATCGAGGGTGGGTTAATCGAGGGTGGGTTAATCGAGGGTGGGTTAATCGAGGGTCAGTTAATCGAGGTTTTACTATAATACTTTAGTGTATTTGAATGCTCAGTGCAGTTATCAAGGGGCAGATCCAGGGGGTCCTAGGGGTCCAGACTCCGACTCATTCCCGCCGCTCTACACTTGTTTACACTTACTCGTTATCTCTGTGTTTTGTCATTATTTTCTACTTCAAGTGTTAAATAATCATGTCTAAATGCTCAAGTGATTGTTCCTCTTATCAAGTTTGATGTAATAAGGCACAATAAGAGTGGTGATGGACCAGCAAAGAGTGGTAGAGACTTGTCACCCTAGACCATCCTCAACACAGGTAAATAACAGTCTCAATTTATACTTTTCATTGCTTATTTAAGGCTTATTATGCTTGCTTATTATGCTTGCTTTATGTTTCTTGCTTGACAGTGTGCAGTACTCAGATATATCAAGGGTAGATGGGAGTTTCCAGGGTTGACCAGTCCCTAACCCCCTGAATTAGTTAAGTTACGGGATTAATTGCCCCAATAACCGTTGATTCACTAAGTAACGACGTTTCACATTCCACATATGTATTGATTATTGGGGTATAACTGTACTGTATTCCTAATGGGAAGAATAAAAGAATAAATCTCTCTCTTTTAGGCTAGGATTAGGTTAGGTTAGCTGGAACAATTGGCGCATAACACTCCCGGGGATGAGAGATTTCTGGGTAACTAGATTACTCTCTCAAACCCTGAAAAATCTCTTATCCCCAGAAATTTTTTAGGTTACTGAGAAAAATATGTTCCTGTGTGTTGTGTGTGTGTGTGTGTGTGTGTGTGTGTGTGTGTGTGTGTGTGTGTGTGTGTGTTGTGTGTGTGTTGACCTCAGAAAGTGATGAAAAAGACTCACATACAACACAAGATTCATTATAATACCAAGAGCCTCATTACTAACACGCACACACATACCTACCCACGCGCACACAGCCACACGCAAACACACACACACAACCACGCACTCACCCACCCAAGCACGTACACAGTGAAGGGCTAAGACAGTGGTACCATTTATGTTGTGATCTTGAACTTTGTTGCATAATGAGAAGAGAAAACAAGTGAACAGAGAAACAAGAAGAGGAGAGGGAAGAGAATAGTGAACAGAGAAATAAGGAGAAGAGGAGAATGAAGAGAATAGTGAACAGAGAAATAAGGTAAGATCATCAGGTGTACTCAGGTGGTGTGGACACTAACGAGACGAGGTGGGAGATGAGGTGGGTGATGAGTGGGGTGGGTGATGAGTGGGGTGGGTGGATGGGGTGGGTGATGAGGGGTGGGTGATGAGGGGTGGTGATGGTGGGATAATGATGAGTGGGAGTGGGTGATGAGGGGTGGTGATGAGTGGGGTGGTGCTGAGGGGTGGGTGCTGAGTGATGGTGAGATGGTGTTCAAGTGACATTTTGGGGTTAGGTTAGCATTAGGTAGGGTTAGGTTAGGGTTAGGTTAGGTTAGGTTAGCATTAAGTTAAATCAGTATTAGTTTATGTCAGAGTATTTAATTATCAGCTGCAGTAAGCTGTTGGGGGATACTCTGTTGGGGGGTACTCTGTTGGGGGGATACTCTGTTGGGGGGGGTATACTCTGTTGGGTGGGGTATACTCAGTGAACAACAGTGAGAGTTGGACATGTGCTCCTCATCCTGGCCACTAAAATAAATACTGTGGTTAGTTGTGTTGGCAAAATGCACTTAGTTAGTCTGAGATACAATCAGCTGTAAAGAACACACACACACATGAGCCAGGGCCTCACTATACAGTACAGTACATCATATAGTCAAAACCTCATGCAGTACAGTACATCATACAGTCATAACCTCATGCAGTACAGTACATGATGCTCCATGACTCAATTAGTGGATAACATGGATTCAATCCTGTATTGAGTGGACCACCAACTGTGTCTGTGTCCTGAACCTTGTTGCCACTAGGGGCTGCCACTCAACAAACTGTGCTAATGGCATAAAGAATGTCAACTTTAACTATACAGTACAGTATGTAAAAGTGATGTATTATATCACTTGTGTTTACAGTACGTACTATAGTAAACATCACCAAGCCATAGTATAAAGCTACTATAAAATCATCTCCCACACTTATATTAAACAGACTTTATACTAAGTGATTTTTTCAGCGATGATTTAATTTGAGAACGTGGGGGAGCATCTCACTGTGGTGACGGCCGACAACACCACCGTTCATCCAAACGACAAGACTCAACATACACTGGGATATCTTATTAAATGTTATTGTTAATGCATCACAAAGTTGCAGCCAACAGTTGAGCAGTCACGTTCAACAGACCAAAACAAAACATCCTACCATCGAGCAGTTCGCTTCTTCTAACGTGGAGACTTAACTCAAGTTTCTTTTGTTGTTCTTAACTTTATTTAATGAGAGCTGTTAACTTGTGTCTTACCCAAAGGAGAGACTGACTGTTGGCCTGTACTGAGTAGAGGCAAAGAAAAACATTTACTATAACACAATTAGTCTGATCACCTGGTATAATAATAATTAACACCTGATATAACTACAGTATTAACACCTGGTATAATTATTAACACCTGGTATAATTACAGTATTAACACGTGGTACAGTATATATTCTAAAACTCTCTTTCACTTCAAAATTCCTGTAAAAAAAACCCAGAAATCTTACATGTTATTACTCTGTACAGTACTGTGTGTGTGTGTTTTAACTGAGATATTTACAAACACTACACACACACACACATACACCATAAGGAAACAAATATGTACCTCAGTTTAACAGCTACATTCATTGCTGCCGACTGCGAGGATATAGGAAGGTGTGACCTCTGTTGATAGTGTTTATCTGCAGAAATGTCACACTTGGAAATCTTGACTCTCTCTGTAGCCCGCCTGGCCCCGTGTACAGGGTGCGGCTCACTCCCTGATGGTCCGGCCTCTTGGGTGGATATTACATCTTCCCTGAGGAGTGATCATGAGGGTGAGGAGTGGTCATGAGTAGCCACACCTAACCATACAAGTAGCCCCAGCTAACCATACAAGTAGGCCCAGCTAACCATACAAGTAGCCCCAGCTAACCATACACGTAGCCCCAGCTAACCATACAAGTAGCCCCAGATAACCATACAAGTAGCCCCATCTAACCATACAAGTAGCCCCATCTAACCATACAAGTAGGCCCAGCTAACCATACAAGTAGCCCCAGCTAACCATACAAGTAGCCACACCTAACCATACACATAGCCACACCTATCCACACAAGTAGCCACACCTAACCACACAAGTAGCCACACCTAACCACACAAGTAGCCACACCTAACCACACAAGTACCACACATAACCACAAAGACCACACCTAACCATAAGAGCCACCAACCATACAGACACACCCCAACCACACAAGTAGCTACACCTATCCACACAAGTAGCCACACCTAATCAAGACAGTAGCCACACCTAACCACACAAGTAGCCACACCCATCCACACAAGTAGCCACACCTATCCATACAAGTAGCCACACCCAACCCACAAGTAGCCACACCCAACCATAAAGTAGCCACACCCAACCACACAAGTAGCCACACCACTCCAATTCAACACAGAAGAAACAGCCTATACTTACCTAAATGTGTTTCCTTAGCCATGTGACGAGAAACAGTGAACACATTGTGAGGCGGTACAGGGATGTTCACCTCTAGACCCAAGGCATGGAGATGATTCTGAAAATGTACAATATTATTATTTATTGTCTGAGATAATGATGATGATTGTATTGTATCAAATTTTGGGAAGGATGAATAATTACATCCCACCCGGTCTGTTTTATGCTATTTAGCTTAACCTAACCTGATCTGACCTTTTCTGACCTGACATGACCTAACCTGACCATTTAACTAATATACAGTAAAATTTGCATGAAACAGATGATCATCCAAGTGAGATGACATCAGAATGAACGCCTTAAAACCAACTTTTCTCTCTCTTAGTCAACTTCATCCATTCCAAGATGTATTAACCCTTCTAACAGACAGTAACACTTATATAAATGCACTATATAATTAACTTCACCCACAGTGAGTAAACTATGAACCAGTGCCTACCATTTTCTCTCTAATACTGAAGTTAGTGATGATGGTAATGAATCTTCTTGTCTAACAGATGACCTCTTGACATCTGACCTATAGCCCTGTGACCTGGCTATGTCAACAGTAGGACCACAGACTCTGGCCTGACTCTACCCTCAGTCCTACACTCTCCTCACTATGATACACGTGAGTCTCCTGAACCCCTCAGATACACATATCAGCTTCATATTTTTATTAATCACAGCCTACAGCGCTGTTGCTTCAGTGTTAGGTTGGGTTGCCAGTGTTAGGTTGCTGTCAGTGTTAGGCGCTTGGCGTTAGTTGCTATGCCACAGTTAGGTTGTGTTGCTGTTAGTTGCTTGTGTTAGGGGTTGCTGTCAGTGTTGCTGGGTTGCCAGTGTTAGTTGGCTTAGCCAGTGTTAGGTTGGGTTGCTTTAAAGTGTTAGGTTGGGTTGCTTTGCGTTAGGTTGGGTTTAGCCAGTGTTAGTTGCTGTCAGTGTTAGGTTGCCAGTAAGAAAGTTGCTTTTCACAAAGTTAGGTTGTTAAGCCCGTGTTAGGGTTGGGGTTGGTTCGCGGTTAGGTTGTTGCTTTCAGTGTTAGGTTGTGGTTGGCCAGTGCTAGGTTGGGTTAAGCCAGTGTTAGTGGGTTAGCCAGTGTTAGGTTGTTGCCGTGTTAGGTTGGGTTAAGCCAGTGTTAGGTTGGGACTGGTGTTAGGTGCTACCAGTGTTAGTTGGGTTGCCAGTGTTAGGCTGGGTTAATTGTGCGTTAGGTTAAAGCTAGTGTTAGGTTGGTTGCCAGTGTTAGGCTGGGTTGCTAGTGTTAGGTTGGTTAAGCCAGTGTTAGGTTGGGTTAGCCTGTGTTAGTTGCTGTAGTGTTAGGTTGCTGCCAGTGTTAGGTTGCTTTTAGGTTAAAGCTTCAGTGTTAGGTTGGTTAAGCCAGTGTTAGTTACAGCCAGTGTTAAGCTAGCATCAGTGTAGTTGGGATAAGCCAGTGTTAGTGTCATGTTACCAGTGTTACAAGTTGGGTTAAGCTGTGAGTTAGTGGTTGTTGCTTGTGTCAGGTTGGGTTAAGCCAGTGTTAGGTG